ACACCTTGCCAAATTAGCAAAGGGAAAAACAAATCTTAAGAACAAGGGCTTAATCTCAGCAGGTCGCAACACAAGGGTCACTCACTGCTTACAATACCCCGTTCTATATTTAAGTCGTCTGCAAAGGATTTATCTTCCTTAATATTTAAAATTACAATTCAAAGGCACACCCATGACCTTTCCGTCATAAGGTTTGAACCTCAACAATATGTTATAGGACTCCGAAAAGTCTATTTTTAATCGCCTAAACAATAAGGAAGGTAATAATCGTCACTTCTAGCATGGATTCTGGCTTAGATTCGTTCAGCCATTATCCAACGGATGATAGCCTCGCACCACTATTCTTTCAAATAAGTGCAATCACCAAATATCCGAATCAACAGTTCCTCTCGTACTAAGTTGAATTACTATTGCGACAACAATTTCATCAGTAGGTTAAAACTGACCTGGTCTCACGACGGTCTGAACTCAGTTCACGTTCCCTATTAGTGGGTGAACAATCCAACGCTTACTGAATTCTACTTCAGTATGATAGGAAGAACTGACTTTAAATGATCACAAAGGCAACGTCGCTAACAACACAAACGCTTGGCTGCCACAAGCCAATTTCCCTGTCGCAACTCTTTTGGTACCCCTAGTCTCAAACATCGAGGGTCTAAAGGGTCCACGGAATATACATCCACACCATTCGTTAGGGGAAGCTTGTACCTCATTAAGCCATCCACCTATTCTTAAAAAAAAATGATGTAATCCCAGCAAACTCCCCACCTGACTAATTTTAAGAGAAAGAAGCGATAAAGGTAGTGGTATTTCACTGTTGTGCCGGAACACTCCCACTTATTCTACATCCTCAATGCTTCCCCCCCAGGTCAAACTGGAGTCAAGTTCAACAGGGTCTTTTTCTCCCGCTGATTTTGCCAAGCCCATTCCCTTGGCTGTGGTTTCGCTAGATAGCAGATAGGGACAGTCGATCATTATAAATTATCCGTACCAGTTCTAATCGCTAAACACATTGTTGCCAATATGCCAGCACTTAGAGCCAAATCTTTTTCTCGAAGTTACGGAGTAAAACTGAGTTCCCTTATCTACTTTGTTCTACCAACTAGAGGCTTTCACCTTGGAGACCTGCTGCGGTTATCAGTACGACTAGGCGTGAGAATAAATCTTTCCCTTGGTTTTTCAAGGACCATTGAGAACGCACCGGACTCGACCATAAGCGTCAAGCTCTTCCAGTAATGGCACCCTATCTCCGATTAATTCGATTCCAGGGTGACACTATAACTGTTAAAAAGAAAAGATAACTCTTCCCAGGGCTCTCACTGATGTCACCAAGTTCACTTGACGTTACCGTATTAATTATCCACGTCCTAGTGCAGGAATATTAACCTGCTTCCCTTTCGATAGGCAGGCGATGAATTGCCCTTTTAAAACGGAATTACCCTATCTTAGGATCGACTAACCCATGTCCAACTGCTGTTCACATGGAACCTTTCTCCACTTCAGTCTTCAAAGTTCTCATTTGAATATTTGCTACTACCACCAAGATCTGCACTAAAGGCTGTTCGACCCAAAATCACTTTCAGGGCTTCTTAACAAACCTTCACGCCTGCCTACTCGTTAGAGCTTCACTATAACCCTAACGGTGAGGTATGGGTATCACACTTGAGCGCCATCCATTTTCAGGGCTAGTTCATTCGGCAGGTGAGTTATTACACACTCCTTAGCGGGTTCCGACTTCTATGGCCACCGTCCTGCTGTCTATATGAACTAACACCTTTGTGATATCTAAATGAGCGTGAATTCCGGCACCTTAACCTCACGTTCGGTTCATCCCGCATCACCAATTTTGTTTACCAAAAATGGCTCACTAGAAACTCTTTGTATCAATTACATTAACAAGTTTCTGCTATCCTGTGGGAATCTTCGGCAGGAACCAGCTATTAGATGGTTCGATTAGTCTTTCACTTCTATACCCAAATTTCGGCGAACATTTGCGCACCGGACTACTACAAGTTTCCACTAGAGTTCTTCCTCTAGCTTCACTCCATTCAGGCATAGTTACCATCTTTCGGGTCCTAACAGATATGCTCTTAAATGGTCGATAGCCATTCTCCCCCCGAATTTACTACCCTTATAAAAAAATAAGTTGTCCAGAGTTGTCCATAGTTGTCCATAGTCGTTCGGAGTTCGGAGTTGTTGAGAATTTCTTAACAGCAATTTAATTGCTCTTTTATTTAGTAAGAGAGAGAGATATATAAAAAAAAATAGGGATACGGGGGAATAGGTGGAACAATCGCCATTGTTGGACGCGTTTGAGTTTCTACACTCTAACACTCGCATATATGTTAGACTCCTTGGTCCGTGTTTCAAGACGGGTCGTTTAAAGCCATTTCGTTAACATCCTTAACGAATTTGCACCACCTGACTAACCACCCCTATAATTGGCGGAACACACCATATATATGATAACTAAAGTGGGGCGATCAGATCAGTTTGAGCAGCCCTAAAGGTATTCGTTGCAATCCTCAATCCCGACCACCATATTCCGCTTAAAGTTTATCACACTCCCGAAGGAGCCCGATTCCCTTTAGCCTTTTTATGACAGTCAAAATTGATGTTAACCAGCCGATACAAAAATGCACCCCACACAAGTAATTGAATGTCGACTATGGCGGTTTTTAGGCTCGCCAATGCGCTAATTGCCTTGATGCGTAAGCTGATTTTGTACCAGTTCCACTAACTTCAAACGTTTCCCTTTCAACAATTTCACGTACTTTTTAACTCTCTTTTCAAAGTTCTTTTCATCTTTCCCTCACGGTACTTGTTCGCTATCGGTCTCTCGCCAATATTTAGCCTTAGGTGATATTTACCACCCATTTGGAGTTGCAATACCAAACAACTCGACTCTTTGAAAGCGTATCGTAGATGGTATCGTAAATGAACGCATGCCGGCACAAACGGGATTGTCACCCTCTATGATGTCCTATTCCAAGGAACTTGTTACCAGACATACGCCCAACCAAGAAAACGCTTCTTCAAACTACAATTCAACCTTGTAAACAAGGCGGATTTAAAATTTGAGCTCTTCCCTCTTCACTAGCCGTTACTAGGGGAATCCTTGTTAGTTTCTTTTCCTCCGCTTATTATATTTAAGTTCAGCGGGTATTCTTGCCTGATTTGAGATCAATTGTTTTTTTCTCTATGATGATACTTACTACTCACTTTAAGGCATAAATAATTCTATATTATTTAATAACCCAATTCCACATTCAAATCCAATCGATGATTGGGCATTCATTGCAATCATTTGAATATGATAATATTTTCTGATACTCAAACAGGCATACTCTCTTATTACCAGAGAGTGCATTTTGCGTTCAAAAATTCAATGATTCACGTTTTGCAATTTACATGACTTATCGCAATTTGCTACGTTCTTCATCGATGCGAGAGCCAAGAGATCCGTTGTTGAAAGTTATTATTATTTATATATATACAAGATATATATTTTTTTTATAAATGTTTTATAAAGAGTGGTAGGTTTTGAATACGCATTTTATTTTATATATATATTAATAAAAATATATAATTATTTTAAAATGATCCTTCCGCAGGTTGACCTACAGAAACCTTATTACGACTTTTTACTGCCGAAAATGCATAGCTTGATTCAACTTCTTAGCCAAGGTCCGCAAACATATAAGTAAGCGACCGCCCATCCGATGACCTCGCTACACATACAATTTCGATAGCAACGACGGGCGGTATGTACAAAGAGCAGGGACATAATCAACGCAAGTTGATGTCTTGCGCTTACTAGGGATTCCTCGTTGAAGAGCATTTAATTTCAATGCTCTATCCCCACCACGATAAAGTTTCAAAAGATTGCCCATACCTTTCGGTAAAGGTTAGTTACTTGTTGACTTTATCAGTGTAGCTTGCATGCGGCCCAGACCACTAAGGATGTCATAGACCTGTTATTACATCGAACTTCCATCGGCCAAAAACCGATAGTCCCTCTAAGAAGCTCTCAAACCTGATAAAAAACCAGACTTAATAACTTACTATTTAGAGGTAAGACGTTAAGAACGGCCATGCACCACTAGACATAGAATCCTGACCTTTCTCCTATGTCAATCATGACTATGGCTGGATCTGGAAGTTGCAAGCAGGCTCCACCCCTGGTGGTACTCTTCCGTCAATTCCCTTAAGTTTCAGCCTTGCGACCGTACTCTCCCCGGAACCCAAACACTTTTAGTTTCCCGTAAGGTACCAAACAAGTCGTTAAAAAATGAACTTTGTCTGATTCCTAGTCGGCATAGTTTATGGTTAAGACTACGACGTACATAAATCGTCTTCGATCCCCTAACTTTCGTTCTTGATTAATGAAAACATCCTTGGCAAATGCTTTCGCAGTAGTTAGTCCTCAATAAATCCAAGAATTTCACCTCTGACTATTGAATACTAATGCCCCCAACTATCCCTATTAATCATTACGTGGTCCTAAAACCAACAAAATAGAACCATCGTCCTATTTTATTATTCCATGCTAATGTATTCAAGCAAAAATGCCCGCTTTAAACACTATATTTTTTTCAAAGTAAAAATCCTAGTTCATTGAAACACCCAAGAGCATCCCAATTCACCAGAAGGTGAGAAATTGGCTACACACCGATTCATGCCCCTAAAGGCATGACCAATATATCCCAATCCCGAAATTCAACTACGAGCTTTTTAACCGCAACAACACTAATATACGCTATTGGAGCTGGAATTACCGCGGCTGCTAATACCAGACTTGCCCTCCAATTGTTCCTCGTTAAAGGTTTTAAATTGTACTCATTCCAATTTCGAGACCCAAAAGAGCCCTTAATTGTTATTTATTGTCACTACCTTCCCGAATCGGGATTGGGTAATTTGCGCGCCTGCTGCCTTCCTTGGATGTGGTAGCCGTTTCTCAGGCTCCCTCTCCGGAATCGAACCCTAATTCCCCGTTACCCGTTACCACCATGGTAGGCCTCTATCCTACCATCGAAAGTTGATAGGGCAGAAATTTGAATGATTCATCGTCGGCACGAGGCCATACGATTCGAAAAGTTATCATGAATCACCAAGGTTTAGTTGGTTGCCCAACTGTTGGTTTTTTATCTAATAAATACATCCCTTCCAGAAGTCGGGATTTTTAGCATGTATTAGCTCTAGAATTACCACGGTTATCCAAGTAGTAATAATGTACTATCAAATAAACTATAACTGATTTACTGAGCCGTTCGCAGTTTCACCTGTATATAAGATTTATACTTAGACTTGCATGGCTTAATCTTTGAGACAAGCGTATGACTACTGGCAGGATCAACCAGGTAACTATCTTGCGATTTTAAACGACAAAGTCTCTACTCTCCCTGAAAGAGAGAAAAAGAAACCCCATCATAAAAAAAACTAAATGTGGTCCGGTTCACAAAATCGTGATCCGAGTCCACAAATAGCGTTGTATAGTTGTTATTGGGTCGAGCTTAAGCGATAATGCTTTAAATCATTCCTGTTGCCAATGCCTTCAAGTTTTTCTAGATTTGTTGGCTCAAAAAATTTGTGACCATTTTTTTGATTCAACATATCCTTCAATGCCAATTCACTTGCGAATTATCACAATAAATAAAATTACGACATTTTCACAGTGCTCTTGGCAAATTGATGATTGTTGGTAAGTTTACCTAGCAGGTATGTATACACAACGTTCTCCTTTCGATTAGTTATACACAATGATTACTAATCAATATATTTTATGAACACTAAAGTCGATAAAAGAAGAAGTGTTCTTAAACCCATCATTCAATATCAGACAATAGCTAA